AATCAGAAATGATCTCCTACCTCGAAAACTGCAACCTAGGAGGACCTTGGATTTTCAAGGTGAGTCGGCGAATCCTTATAAGGCGACATGAACGCCATTCTCTATCACTTCCTCTCGGCTTAGAAACATGGGCTTAGCAGTGCATTCTTGCCTTATACTCTGTTTCTCTGTCCTTGGTAAACGAAGTCCATTCCTTCTTGCACACTTGCCTTACTAAGGTTTCAGTTTTGAGATAAGTAGACTTGACATGCCAATAATTGCGGACTTTATTTTCTGTTAGTTCTCACTGCGACCAACAGCGTCACAAAGTTTGACAAACCTGGGAGATTTGTCTTCAACCTGACTTCAATCCCTTTCTTCGCAGCGGTGCGTCCAATGTTCAAAACGCTTATGTTAACGTAGCGCAGTATTAATATGTCACCTTGGTCATGAACGACAATTAACAGGCACTTTTTCATAATTACCTTTACATTGATTTCCTTGTCTTGTAGTCAGCAAACCGGTCATGCGATTACAACACCACGGTATGCGGTCTGGTAGCTGGTAAGATTGATTCAACAAAACACTTAATTTCCGCCAGTCATGCGACAACACAAATAACAATTTCATTAATGTTTGGACTTTTAGCTATAAACCAAAATTTTACCATTCCCGCGGGCACGAAAATCCCAAGAGGAAAAACTTACATTTTGGTCCTGGGAAGCCACAACAAAGTGAAATGCATTAACATAAATGGTATGTCATGTCTGTGTAGTATGCAGCCTAGTTTAACATCAATCGTTAATGACAGCCATATCTTCATTCTAGGCAGTAGTTGCATTTCCGGAGCTGAGAGGATCGGCGAATTGTACGTGTATAACAATAAAACAGTTAAAAATCAGAGATTTCGGGTGGATTTTAGCGTTAGCGTAAGTATAATACGCCTTGTTTCAATTGTTTCGCTCTTTCACTGCTTACCGCAAACTAACTCAACCCTTCCCCTCCCGCAGATCACATTTCCAACACTTAATCTGATAAACATATCATGTGAGTCAAGCAAAATACTGCGAATATTGCATAACCAGTGTGTGCGCGTAAATTTAATTTCATTTTCGCCTAAAATGCATCTGTGAGCTAACTTCAGTCAGCTGCAGCAGAAATGCTTTCGAAATACTGACTAGTTAACACAACAGACACACGGATAGTGATGTTAACAACCAATGATCCTTTTGACGACGTATGAATTCAAATTAATTGAAGTTTGCTCTCAACAATGCAACAAAATAGGTGGACAAATGTGATTCCTCCTCTTGTTCCTTTGCCACTGTTGATGTTTCACAAATTTGATCTACTCTAGATGAATCATACGTCTACCTATTTGGACGAATGGGGAATGAGACAGTTCACGTCCCCTTCATGTCTGGCGTTAATTTAAACAGAAAAGCATTCGAAGTGATCATCAAACCTCGCAACTAAATGACAACTAGCACGAGTTCATCCTCGGTTCATTGCCTCCATCGCCATGGGGCTGGAAAACGTGATTATATGTGCAATGTTTAAATAACAGTTTTGATTTTTTTTCAAATGATGTCGCGGTTTTCATGACGTTTGACTCATTAATTGTGATGTATCTTTTAAAAAATAAAGTTTGTCTCGCAAAGATTGAATTTTGCAAGCCCTCTTCTTTGGTTTATACCGACGCGACGATGCTCACGTAGGTCTGAAGTAGAAGTTCTATTGAGGGGATAGGTTTGCAGGCTTTCCGTATGAAGAGTCGGTTGTTCTTGCGCGGTATTGGTGTATTACAAGCGAGTTCAACTTAAAATTATGCTTTCAAACATAACTTCGGCAGTAAATTCATCCAAAGATTTCTCATGATTGCCGCCTGTCCTGATATGGTAACAGTCCGGATTCATTTGCTAGGGTTTTGCACAAACATCATTCACCCCTGGGCATACCCAGACACAGGAAGAACTAGAATATGAAGAGTAAATATGCTATGCCATGAAATGCTGGTTTGCATGCTGAAATACATTTCGGTTTAATAGAATTGCTTAAGTGCAGTTTTCATGCCAATAATTCTGTATCGTAATCCTACGATATTTCAGTTACGTGACGATGACGGTTTTCAAACTAGCGCATTATCAACCGCGTGCGTAAACTATATTCCGTTAAAAATGATTTGCTACGTAATATGTTTTCCCTGTCGGTTTTCGACCTCCTCACAAATTCAAATATAGTTTGTGAAAGTCATGCATTTAAAAACCTATTCTTTCAGTCATTTGGCAGCAAATAATGTCCCCTTTAATTTTTTTTACTAGAAGAAAGAGTATGCTTTGGGTTATGCGATTTTTCAAAACCGCGAAACGTTTAATCGTACGGCATCGCATCAGCAAATTTATCGATACTGTTTATAAAATGGGCAACATGGTTCACATTCCTTATAAACTTTTATGAGCCCCATATGTCCCCCCTATGATAGCATGTAGAAATATATGATTTTTGTTGCCTGAAAAATGTACAGCTTGCAAATCGGCAAACCTAAATATAAGTTTAACGAGAGGTCGGGTCCCAAATTGTTTTGGAATTAGGAAAGTTTTTTAAACCACACGTTACTCCTTCCTCAATAGAAAAATTCCCAAAGACTAAACTTGCCACCAAATGAGTAGAATAAAGAAATGTCTTGTGCACGCTTCCTCGTAAATATATTTCAATTTATAAGGGTACTGAGAATCAAAAGAAAACGTAATGCTACGTACAGTAGATGCGCTCACTCATGGAACGTTAACCGAAATGCTAAAATCGTTTGCATTCTGAAAAGATTACTTAGGTAGGGTTTTAATTTTCATCACTGCGCAGAATAATTATATAATACTTCAGTTACCTCGAAATGCAAACTTTCAAACGAATTTCTTTCCAACTGAATGCAGAACTTACACTTTGTAAAAATTACTTCTTCTGTATCCAGCATTTTTCTTATAGATTTCCGATTACCTTAAAAATTCAATTACATTTCTTGAAAAAAATGCTCACGAATATTCATCCTTTACTCATTCATTAGAAAAGTGCTTCATCTTCAAATTTTATACTCGAAGAAAGCGTGTAATTTGGGTTTGAAAAGTTTCGAATTATGCGATCATTTAATACCTGGAAATTACCGTTAACAAAACAGTGTCTCTGCATTTACTAATGTCACTTGCAAAGTTAATAGCACGCTCCTATTTTACTGCCAATTTTTGAACGCCATATGATCTCCTCTTAGTACCGTATGGCTTTCCGTAAACGAACAATTTACGGCTTGTGGTTTAAAAACCGTAAATGCAGTTGGAACGGCAGTTTTGGTTCATAATTACTCGTAAATTGGAAATATGATTGAAATATACTTAAATTTTTAAGTGCTTTGAGAATCAACATGAAAAATCATGCTAAATAAGTAGTAATTTCTTACATAGCATAGTAGTTGCATTCTGCCGCGAAGAATTTCTTTCGAAAGCCGGCATCCTGAGGTAGCTGAAGTATCATGGCATTACGCTGCACGAAGATTCGCTTTACGGCCACAATTACTCAATCTTATTGAAACGAAAAACATTTCGGAACCTCAGTTAAAATTTCATGAGTTAGCACGACAGGGCAAAGGGCTCGTGGCCCGGTGGGTAGAGGCGTGGGCTTCTAAACCAACAGGTCGCGAGTTCGAGGCTCGGGTGTTCCACAATTCGGGCTTGGGTTTGGCTGGCTGACGACGGCTAATAAGACAGAAATGGCCATTCCGGTCTCCCTTGTCTTTGTCGGTAATACCATTCTGCCTATATATGTGAATTTAAAAACAAAAATCCCAAGAATCATGATTAGGAAGAAATAAGTCCTTTGGAAAAGATAAACCAAGTTATCACAAATTTTTGACATTGTTTCCTCAAGTCGACGACTACGATTCACATTCAGCATGTAAACCCTAAGGAAAGTGTCGGATATTTCGAAAGAAATGAAGCCGTCTATAAGAATACCATGCAACACCTGTAATGCGGTTTATTGTAGTCATACTGGGAATTCGACCATTATACGAAAACACGAACACAAAATGGCCGTAAAATGGCCAGACCACTTGTCCCAAGTTGCCATGCAAATGCTAAAAACTGGACACAAATTCGTCATGGACAAGACTCGCACTGTGGGGGTCTGTTCATCTAATCAGGGCCGCAAATTTTTATAAGCCGTCCATTCTAATAAATTATGCATCAACTGACACGTAGAATTGAATGCTGTTTACAAGAACCACATGCAAATGTGGAAAAGGCATTGGCTAATCAGAACACTACGCCAGCAGGAGTGACAGGGAGAATCAATTTAAAGGCAAACTTATATGATAAATGTTTTGCCCACTTACTTTATGTCTGAGGATGACTTGAGAAACCAAAGTCGAAAATTTAAAACAAATTTGTATATCTTTTAACAAAATTATTTTTTCCGAAATATATATACATATATAGTAAAGGTGTTAAACTGTACTCCCGACATAGATACTTCCTAAAAGCCCAGAAACGTGCTTCGCCGATACTCTGCCGCTGCGTGACACAGCCGCGAGGGGTTCGGCTCTTCAGTGGGACCCCCAGCGTTCTCAATGCGGTTTCTGGTATATGAGATCCAGAGAACAATCAAGTGAATAATTTCAGAAATAACTCAGTGCAGAACTTGGGGTTTAATCTCGGGGAAATGAATTTTTAGGGTCGGAACCGAAATTTTAGTGAACATGCGAGTCGAAGACAATTAAATACTGTGGAATAACCACGTAATGCCCATTTTACAAACAGGTAGTACTACGAGTAATATGAAATCAATATGGAAAAGTTATTATGATAATACTTTACCATATGGATTTCGTACAGGAATTGTCACTGTAGTCACCGGGCCTGAGTGGGAGGGAGAGTGACTGCTGTCAGTCTGTCTCTGGTCGGGGGACGGTATTTGAACGTTGGTGACCATCGCCTGCACCGGGGGATCCGATAAACAAAACTTCTCGTTCGGCTTCAAGTAACCGCCTGGGCACCACGACCAGTCGTAATTGTGGACGGGGCATCGAACATGGCGACCCAACGACTGACGAAGGCCTTCATGATAGTTTCAACCTGAACATTCGGCAAAGGAATAGCTTCTGCCCAGCGGATATACCGATCGACACAGGTAAGGAGGTGGGTAAAACCATTGGATGGAGGCAAGGGCCTACGAAATCGAGGTGCACTTGGCTGAACCGTGCGTCGGAGCAGGGGAAAGTGCCTGGTGGGGACTTTTTATGACGTTGCACCTTGTTTCGCTGGCAGCTCAGACACGACGGGGCCCAAGATTAGACGTCCTTTTTCATGCTTGGCCAGACAAACCTTTCCACGAGCAGCTTTTGAGAGGCTCGGATCCCAGGGTGGGAGAGTTCATGCAAACTTTGAAATACAGCTCGACTCATCGAGGTGGGCACGAAAGAGCGATGAAAGGGGGTTGAGACGTCACAATGTATGGCATCAGAGCCGGTAGTCAGAGGAACGTCTTTGAGTTGGATACTACTAACAGACTCGTCGCCAGGACAGCCGACTCGCTGTTGTTCAGCCGCCATGGTGCAAAGATCGATCCCGTGTGTGAGTTGAAGGGAACACAGTGAGGTTCTGGGCGGCATATCAGCCACCTCATTCTTCGTGTCATTAATGTGGCTGATCTCGGTGGTGAATTGGGAGATGGAGTCCAGTTGGGCGATTTCCCTCGGATTGTACTTGTCGGAGTGGGACCGAAGTGCAAAAGTCAACGGTTTGTGGTCAGTGAAAACATTGAAGTTCCGCCCTTCAAGGAAATGCCGGAAATGCTGCACAGCCAGGTATATGGCAAGTAGTTCACGGCCAAAGCTACTGTAGCGTGTCTCAGCTGGTAAGAGTTCTTTGGAGAAAAAGGCAAGTGGTCGCATCGAACCAGCAAGTCGAACCAGCACCTACGGCTACGGTCGAAGCATCTACCATCAGAGACAGCAGAGCTTCGGGAGCGGGATGCGTGAGTAAGGTGGCGTCGGCAGGGGAATTCTTGATTTTCTCAAAAGCAGTTAGTGCTTCACGAGTCAGTTCGAGGGGGTCTTTGGGACCAGAAAGCACGTTGGTGAGCGGCAGTATGAGGTCAGAACAGTTCGGTAGGAACCGGGGGTAAAAATTGACCATGCCGAGGAATCGCTACAACTGACGTTTGGAAGTTGGAGATAGAAATTACGAACTGTTTCAACCTTGGAGGGGAGGGGACGCAAACTGTCAGAGTCGACCTGATAGCCGAGAAACTAGAGTGAAGACACACCTAACACGCACTTGGAAGGTGTCACAGGGTCGCAAGTACCTGATGTGGCATAAGGCACCATGTGCAGTGGAGACGCCCAAGGGCTCTCGGATTGTGGAATTATTCCCAGTTGCAGCATTTGTTCAAACTTCGCCTTTGCGGCCTGAAAACGCTCCGGTGCTAGTCGTCTAGGTCGAGCAAAGACGGGTGGACCTGAGGTGCGGATTTGGTGCAAAACATCATGTTGAACCTCACCACTGTGAAACTAGAGGTTAATTATTTTGGGATGACTAAGAAGCAGTTGCAGAAAGGGGCTTGCAATATGCGTATCCATGACAGATAAGTTGGTGAAGGTAGTAAAGGGAGCTAGTCCACGAACAAACAGACCGGATGTGCGGTCGAGGAGACGGGCACGTCGGCAGCCAACAAGGAGTTAGTACTCGGCAAGAAAGTCCGAGCCGAGGATAGCCTGAGGGATATCAGCAATCACAAAGATCCAGGTGAATGACCGACGAAGACCAATGTTCAGGGTGAGGGACAAACTGCCAAAAGTTGGAATGGGGGAACAGTAAGCAGCTTGGAGGTGACGATCAGGGCTAGGGAAACGACGATCAGCTGCAGTTGGGGGAACAACGCTGATTTCGGCTCCAGTGTACATCAGGAATAGTCGGCGAGTCGCAGTGTCGCAAACCTAGAAGGGGCGACCAGAGCCGGAAGAGTCGGAGAAAACGGTCGCATCTATTCTCTGGCTGACTGTTTTCCCTGCTTCGGCTTAAAAGTGCAAGGTGCGGAACAGCGACGGGCCTTTACGCCGAAATTAGTTTGATACCAATAAGTATCGAGGTCGCGAACGAGAACGACGACGGCTGCGTGAGCGATAGGAAGTAAAGCGTGTGAGCTTTAGTTTAAAGGAGGCCATCTCATGCGCCATGATCGACACTTCCTTCATTAAATACTCATTCACTGACGATGAGGATGTGTAGATCTGGACAATGGAATGCGAATGGGACCACTGCACCTATATCATTCGATCCGCCATTTTAGCCAGTTGTGAGACCGAGAGATCTTCAGAACCGGATGCCAGGATCGTTTAAGCATCTGCAGGCAGACGTTCTGGAAACATCTCCTTGAAGAATTTATCGTCAACTTGCATGTCTCCAAGAAGAGAACGCATTCGAAGAAGAAGTTCTGAGGGCTTCCGGTCACCCAGTGATTCCTCCTTAAGTGTCTGGTGATACCGCTGTCGGTCGGACAAAGAACTAAGTCCAGGGATTTCTGCCTTTAAGGTGGAATAGGGAGAATCTGCAGGAGTATTAGATAGCAAGGACTGAACTTAAGAGATGACACAAACGGGGAGAACCTCATCAAGTTTGTGGTATTTCGCCTGCTCCTTAGTAACGTTAGCCGAATAAAAGGCTGATTCGATGCGGATGAAGTAATGTTCTAAAGCGTGGTGTCAGAATTCAGGCAGGGTAAAATTGATTGCATGAAGGGACTGGGCGGGGTGGCATCAAACTCTCGGTTGGAATGAGATAAACTATTAAAGACAGAGATTATATAATATCAGAATTCGTGAGAAAAGTAGACGTAAATGGAATAGAAATTCATAAACAAATAGTACGTTAAATGTTATTCAGTATGACATAGTAAGGTATAAAATCTGCGTTAACGTCGGGAGTCACCAATGACGCAAATGATAATGCTCCCACGAAATAACGAGGTATATCGCACGATTCCCTAGCCTAAAAGGCAGCAAAAGAAAACTGGGCAGTGAACAATATAGAGATTCTGAACAGAGCGACGACGGCAAAGCAGGCCAGCAAGGCGGGTTGTACAAGTGTGTTGTTTTTCGTTACATTCAAACAAGCATCCCGGGTAAAGTAAACGGGACTAAATTGTCAAAGGTAAATTAGTCCGGTACCTCACCACAGCCTTACTGTTGCCTACAGCGCTACCCGTTTGACCGAAGAATACTCCAGACCCCTCATATGATGCGATGGGGAAATCTTTTGAGAGTTCCATTGATTTTTATTCAACATTGTCGTCAAATAATGCTCTAGATGTAACTTCTGAACCAAAACGTCAATTCATAATCTCCGAGGATTGGGACAGCGGTATTTATCCGCTAGCAACATTCACCAACTTGCGTCAGTTTGGGCTGAATGTCCTCCTCCTGAGATGCCATCGATGTTTTTAAATGTGCCACGCATCGACTCAGACCATCAAGAGCTGTATTACAAATTTGACTTGTCATCCAGAACTGCCGCCATAGAGAAGCCTTGTAGCATGGTTCTCGGGCCTGCAGCCCATCAGTAAGCGCAATGACTTCCCGCTACCTTATTCCGTGCTGAGATTTTCTTTCGGCAGGGAATCAGCAACATGAAGAAGTTGAGGGCGAGCAATTATCGCGGTGAGAATGAGCCAATTTGCCGAGCAGTCGTCACACCAGCATCCGACACGGATGACGAAATCACGGTGATTATCAACTCGGACGCGGACTGACAAGCCACAATCGCATCAATTAAGAACCTATCGGTGATTGCGAGAGCTGTTAATTAAAATATGCATATGGTTCCACAGCAGCCAGGTGCTATAAATACTGCATCCCTTGTACCACCCGGTAATCTTATCTGCGACTGTTTCTGTTGATGTGTTCGAGTGTGAACTCGAAACGTCAGGCCAATAAATTTCTTGTTCCCGTGACCACATCTTCGACTTCTGGACTGCTTCCTGGAACTCGCCTGTTCGTTTCTATCCGGGCAGGTAATGTCATTCAGCCTTGCATAGTTTGTGGGAAAAAGAGTAGTATGGGCATTATGTGAGAAAAGAGCGAGCAATGAAGTGCATCACATACATTTTTGTATCCAGTTGAGGCAAGAGCGTCCATCACCGAGTGAGCCTGGCAAGTGTTTTCTACATCTAATGTTTATCATCGCGTCGTCCATCCCAAAATTGCTGTTATAAAAGGCGGTGTTCAATGTCTTTAGGTGTAAAATGGTTATTGCCATAGTTCGCAGAAACCGAGACTGTTAAACCGGTGGTTTCAGCAAAGTAATTCCCAATCGGACAAAAAAAATAATCAGCATCGCATAAGTCTCATGATAAAATATTTCGGTAAAAATCGGGAGATGGTACCCAAAAAATCCGTTACCTAGAAATAATATCTTAAACAGTGAACACAAACGCCTTCAGGCTATATTAGTGGTTGCAGGCCTACTTTCGCGCACTACTTCGACTTTCCGCGACGGCCTAACATGGGCTGGCCGAACGAAGATCGCTGCAGGTTAAATGGACGATGGTCGATGTTACCCAACCTTCCCCATCGCTACACACGTACACCTGAATATACCGCATACATTCGCATTATGGCAGTTTTTTACAAACAAAATCACTTTTAAATAGGATAAGCCTGCACGACATGGGACAGGAACAGTTCCCAGGCATTTGTCAAAGACATGGCATTGAGGCCAAACGTAAGATGATATTGTACTTCGTCTATGTGAGTCCACACAGCTCGACCACATACAGGGCCTCCCTCGTGGAGTTTCCTTTTCAGTCTACTCCAGTATGCCTCAATAGCATTGGTGTGCCGTCCGATGGTAGGGTTCTTGAAGTTCTTTGAGTGGTTAACAGAGAAATGTAGATAACCTTCTGAGGGAAGACGATTATACGACTTCCACTCGTCCGCTACCACTATACTGTCGATGGCGACCCATTTTGTAATAACGGAACGGAGATCGGGCCAACTTCGATCATTCACCTGTTCAAATAAGGCTTTCCGTCGGCCAGTATCGTACATTCCGACCGGCCACCATCCACAAAACCCCTATTACCACCTGTCCCGTAAGACAGACTGTTTTGGTTAGGCGGATTTTTTGAGTGCCATCTCCCGATTGTTATCAATATTTCTAATGAAGGATTCAGGTTTACTGACTCTGTGCGGAAGCGCTTTCAGATTTCTTAACGTGATAAGATAGTGAGGCAAAACAGAGTCACCAGGGGCCATTTTGAAGTCGGCATTAAGTCAAAGAGCGTTCAGAGCTTCGGCACGGTCCTCCATTCCTATGTAAATGTTGGCGGCATTTTGCGCGGCCGATGTTAACTTTGCTTGACTTTTCGGTAATGGCTAAGTGGTCACAGTCCGGCATGGACAACGATGATTTTTCTCTCAATAACTGAATTCATACTAACACTAGACTAGTCAACCTTACAGTTTGTGATCCACGTCAGTAAAATTGCATGGTTCATATTCATGGTGAAGCCATTTGGGGGAACTGCTCTGATGTTTGCCGTCGCAAACCCAGGATAGAATTTGGCAACCCCATGCTACATATAATATGCTAAGTCGTCACTTTCGACACAAACGGTGTGGGCTTCCCCTCACACAGATTACTCATAGATCAACTGATGAATCTGTGACCAAAGGGTCAGATTAGTTTGTCGAAAGACAATTTTCAGTCGATCCATGAAGATGGCATTCGATGTTGCTATCTTTCCTCACATAATTCCTTCTCTCTTCAGCGAATGTTCAGAGGCACTAAAACTACACATTTGTATCATGCTGGATGATAAGTTGATTTGTACTTCTAACTGCGATAAGCACAATTCCGTCACATTTTGCTTTCGTATGTTGACAATTAGTCCCAGTGTTGTGACAAAATGGCTGACGTTTACCTGTTGAATAGAGGCACGGGGATACATCCTGTAAAACATGATGTTTACGAACGTAGAAGAAAATAGGTTTTTCCGACCATGAAGGCGTATTTGTACAAACGCGGTCAATGTAACCTAGCGGTAGAAGTATCTGCTTACCAGAGCTCCATCAACGAAGTCAATGTTGGTGCATGACAAGTGGACGAAACTATTGGCAAACCATCTCATGAATTCCTAATCATAATTTTATCATTATTCTCACAATGCTAGTCGCCGACCTGTAAAACACAGTGCCCAATCTAACAAAACGTATGAATCAGGATAGAATCTGGCAACACCATAATACTTGTATAATACGGTGCCCACTTAATGGAAATGCGAAAAATCGCCCGTCCTACAAGACAGCCCTTATTAGCCGCGGCAGCAAAATGTCTAACATCTTCAAACTATGAATTTTCGTAGTCAGTGCTCCCACATTAAAAAAAAGATCATGCATAGTTCAACTACCAACGCACTGCTTCCGCTTGCTTTCCGCCATCTACTCTTCCACATCGCTTACAATCCCGACCGCGTCCGTCATGTCAGTGAGATTTAGCGACTTGTCTTTCACAGTCACTCCTCAATACCGACAGTTGATCAGGGCTTGGGAACAGTCTACCAGTACCTGGTAAACAATACCCACGCCATTCCTTCTACTGCTAGTTTAGTCGCCAGAAGGCTCGAATGTTTCAAATTGTGACCCCATGTTTCTGCACCTCACTGGAGTATTAAAACAAGGAAAAGGTGTACATTAAATTTTTCATATCTACTCGTCTACCCATTTTCACACAATGTCATAAAATCCAATTATCAAAGTAGTACGTTAATGGAGAAGATTGTGGTCTACTGACGCAAGAGTTTGGTTGATGCTCCATAAGCTTGATTGACGTTCCAGAATTTTATGCCTATCCTCATACGTATTGGAGTGATGAACATTTGCACACTGCAGACAAGACGATGCCCTCGGCTAACAAGCTCAATCACATGGCATACGAGTCGCTGATTGACGTTAATCGAGGAGGGAGGGGGGGGGGTGTATAGGAAAAGCATGGAGAGACAAACGTGTGATAGGTGATTGTACGAGGCCTTGTCTGTCGGGATTAAGGCACACAAACTCGGTCAAAGTTGTTGCATTTTAATTTTATCTTAAAGTAACTACAAAATGGAGTAGATCAGTTTATTCAAGGTCTATAGCCTTAAACCGAGTAATTTATGTATGAATATTTGGGCCGGATTTCATCAGCCACAGCTGGTAACCTCCGCTAGGGAATCGGGAAAATAAGTAAATACACAGGGGATTGTTGCTTTTTACTTTTCTCAGAAATAATCTGCTAACTTGCAGTCGACCCGTGTATGCTAAGGTCGGTCAGATGTGGTTTGGTAGCTCCATCTGGGTTTTTAGCTATCTCCTGTCCCATTAATGCGTGGAGGGACAAGCATGTGAAAGTTGATTTTAAGAGACCTTGCATGTCCTGCGGTGGAACCACTGGGTTTAAGGCACACGAACTCGACACAGCTTAATCCTTCACACCAGGTTCATAATGATTATATCTAACACATTTCATTCTCTATCCATGGTAGTCTCCAGAATAGGGCATTTTGGAGTCGGAGTTACGGCAAGTTCACCGTGCAAATGTGGCGGGTGTTTTGCGCAGTCAATATTAACTTTGCTTCTCTATTCGTTAACGGCGATGTGGTCACAGACTGGCATGGACAAGGATGATTCTAGTCTCGGTCGCTAGATCCAAAATAACACTAGACAACCCTACACGGCCAAAAATGACAGAACATTAAATTCCGAAATAGCCCATCTTTATATTTTTGCCCTTTAAGGGCGACAATATTTTAAATACTATCAAACGACGGCTACTTTCCGCCATTGAAAGGACATACAATGCAGCCGAACCAGTATTATGCAGTCCTACTATGCCACTTCCGTTGCCAATGCACGCCACTTCAAATTGTGTTTATGAATTCACATGCACTTGTGAATGCAAGTACATTGGGCGAACGCAAAGGCAGTTGGCAGCCAGGTCTATTGGACACCTGCCCAGATGACTCCTAAGACAAGAAAAGAAAATCCCGCGTTCCTCCATTACGAAACACCTGCTTGATAGTGGTCACTCCGTCCACCTCAAAACTTTTTTCCGAGTACTTGTTCCGTCACGAACAACTCGGACATTACGTTACCTGGAGGCGGACTATATACGACGAGTGAAACAAGCTCTTTGTAAACAATTGGAACACGTGGTTAAACTAACATTGCCATGGTAGCCTCTAGCTTCATGATTTCCCCCTTCTCCTCTCATTTTTTCTCTTTAACGTTCTTCTGTTTCACTTTTTTCCCCAAAGGTGTTTGAGTTACTAACTTTATCGATTAAGCCAGCTTTACGCAAATTCCTGACCTTGCAGCTTCTGCATTGATTTTCTACACGAATTTAAATCTGTTGTATTCTTCTCACTCTTTCTTTATCTTATGAAGCAACAGGACGC